TGGTCGTTGTCCTCTTCGTAGTATTCTTTCGGCTGTAAAGGTTTCGGGTATCCCAACGAGCGGCCGCCTGTTCACCAACTCGTCACTATCGGCTCGCATGCTGCAACGCCCAGCGATAGCTCCAGACGTGCCCAGACGCTCCTCAGATAGCGGCATTTCTCCGAGGCTTTGTTTAAACTCCATTTTCATAAGAATATGGGGTGACTAGGAACACGTGAAGGTGTCACTCTTCAAAATATTCGCGTAAGCAAATATCCACCTGCGTGTTGTGTATAATATAGGAAAGTAGGGAACATGGGCGTGGGAGTTGGAAAGTAAAGTGGATAGGTAAGTACTATAGGTGGTTGGATTTGTCACCTTTAGTGCCCCATTATTATTATGGTCGGTGTTTCTTGTGAGAACTCAGGTCTAGCCTGGTTAACTAATCGCAGTGACGATTAGTGTCTGTGTCTGTGTCTGGTGAAGTTATGTTATGTAGGGTTATTGGAAATCTAGGGATAGTATGTAATTCATACTTACCAACATAGCTATTAATGGCCACAATAGTCAACGCTATCAGGAAAGAGGAAAACAAAACAAACAAACAAAATCACTATAATAATTCCTGTAATTTTATTAAATGGAGTTTATTGTGTAAGTGTTTCTTTGGCTTTGCGTTTGGGTTGAATACGAGTGGGTTGTGATAACGTGGTGTGTTTAGGTGAAGAAGGACTTTTGTGTTTTTTAACTGTGCTAGGACGTGTAACTTTATTCGGTGAACCTGTCTTTGTGGTACATGTTGCCTTACTTGTATTTATGGTGTTTCTTTGTTCTAGAGGTTGTATTTGTGTTGTTGCTTCGGTTTTTGGTGGAGATATTACAGTATGTTGTGAGCATGTAGTTCTGTTAAGGTTTTCGCGTTTCGGTTGAATACGAGTTGGTTGTGATAACGTGGTGTGTTTCTGTGAAGAAGGAGTTTTGTGTTTTTTAACTGTTCTAGGACGTGTAACTTTATTGGGTGGACCTGTCTTTGTAGTGCAAATTGCGTTACTTGTATTTATGGTGTTTCTTTGTTCTAGAGGTTGTATTTGTGTTGTTGCTTGGATTATTGGTGGAGACATTACGGTATTTTGTGAGCCTCAAGTGCTGTTAAGGTTGCTGCGTTCGGGTTGTGATAACGTGGTGTGTTTCTGAGAAGAAAGAGTATTGTGTTTTTTAGCTGTGCTAGGCCGTGTAACTTTATTGGGTGAGGGCGTCTTTGTAGTGCAAGTTGCGTTACTTGTATTTATTGCGTTTGTTTGTTCAGGAAGTTGTGTTTGTGTGGTTGGTTGAGTTAAGGGTGGAGATAT